ATAAGATTGAGAATAAGGATATCCGAGGTAAAGTAGGAGTAGCCGAAATTGAAGGAAAGATGAGAGAAAATCGGTTCCGGTGATTTGGACATGTGCAAAGAAGGCCGACTGACGCTCCGGTTCGAAGATGTGACTACGGGACAGAGGTTCAGGGCCGAAGGGGTAGAGGAAGACCTAGGAAAACTTTGGAAGAGACTCTAAGAAAAGGCTTAGAGTACTTGGATCTAACGGAGGACATGACACAAAACCGAGCGCAATGGCGTTCTAGGATTCATATAGCCGACCCCACTTAGTGGGAAAAGGCTTTGTTGTTGTTGTTGTTGTTGTTGGATGACAACCCCTTAACCGAAAGCTGAATGATTAAAAAGAACTGTGGATAACATCAAATTTTAGTTTTACAAGATTTATAACTAAAAAGTCTTCACTGGTTTTCTGAACCATGCTCTTTAAGAGAAAAAACAGCAGCTTTCCTAAATCTAAGATTCTAAGACACCAGATACATGATCCTGAACGTTTCTAGGTCAGCCAAATAGAAGACAAACTGCAGATGAAAGCCACTTCTAATTCTTCAGTGCGAAAGCATAATGAATGCTAAAAAGATGTAGCATGCTCATTAACATCAAATGTCATATGAACTACATCAATAACTTATGACACAATCAGTTCTCATTTCCTATGCTTTTATTATAGAACCCAATTAAGAAACAACTACTTCTTATATCTTATCTGGCTGGACGAAGAAAAGGAACTATACAATACGTGCACTGGGTTCCCCAACATATAAGCTACACTTATAAAAACAGATAGCATAAACATAGACTGTTATATTAGCAATTAAATCATCTGAACCAGGAAAAAGCAGTTGGTATAGAACAATTTACCTTGTTCATCAGAAAGAAGCGCTAATATCCGGTCAACAAGATCCTGTATAATAGAAATTGGTAAATCAGACAACAGTCTTCTCTTACGACATTCATCTCAAAAACCTTTTAAAATGGCTTCCCAAGATACCATCGTAAAAGGTAAGCTAATTTTTATGCAATGAACAGCTCATATTTGGTCTTAGGTTCGCTTATATTACACATTTTTCTGGGGTGGGCAAAGTAAGAGGGGAAATTAACTAAGCAACTCTTGGTAGTCATTGAGAACTCTATATAACACATCATCCAACCTTGATAAATTACACCTAAATAAATATGCAGAATATAATAGGACCTCTTATACTTTATAGGAGTATTGACATGAACAATGGAACCCACATCAACATGAATTCCTGTGAACTCAAAAAAAGTACGCCACATAAGCATAAAATGCAGTGCAATGGTGAGTACATAGATAACATCCACTATATAAAGGAATGAAGGGGTGAGTATGTAGATAATATCCACAATATACAGGAAGGAACCCAACATCACATCACAGAGTGGTATTTCTAGCATCTCACCTGCTTCTTCCCCTGCTTCGAAAGACCTAATTGGGTGAGAACATCTTTGAGCTCTTTTATTCGAAAATATGCCAATTTTTCCTGCAATGACAAACAAAAGTTCTAATAAATTCACTGCTTCAAGAAGTGGCATCCCACCAGTGTGAACACCAAAATAATAGTAAGCAACGTCTGGACTTCCTAAAATGTAATTAAGTAGCTAAAGCAATCTTTTCTCCAAATTCTTATTGTTTATGCTATGAACTGTCGTTGGAATTCTGAAAGAAACAAGTCACTAGCTTCTTTAACAAATAAACCATGATAACAGATATGCAATGTTTTAAACCCAACAAAAAAAAAAAACTTAGGTATCCAATACAAGTGGGTACATATAGCATAATCTCTTTACTTTTCTCAACTGACAGAACCAGTAATATATGAAGTTTGGTATGCAGTACAAGCAAAACCGTCTACATATTATGAATTATGTATTTCACAAGTTGAATATAATATGAAAACAGTCTCAATGAACTAAACGCTGTGAACGATACTTTAGCCTCAAGGGAATAGAAATGGGACAGGAAAAAGAAAATTAAAACTTCCAACCAAATGCGTAACTAGATTTACAACTCTTTCTTAGAAGGTAAATCTCCACCATCCAACAATTACTTGCAAACTATTCATGATCAACTGTATTCATATATCTTTGCTTCTTCGCATTTCCCTACTTCAAAATACCCAAACTCATTTTTCTTATCTCATCTATTCACACCTTATGCAGGTCACACGAACAACACTAAATGTCAAATTAACCAAAAACAAAAAAGTTGTCATTTGAGACATAACCCAACTACATTATATCATCTACTAATTGGATAACAGAAAAAACTAAGTGACACACACATAAAGCTACTTATATGAGCTTATTTCCACTGATGCATTCAATAACACCGCCCGCATACTAGTTCACCAAATTCACTAAAGTAAAACGACCCCGCCATTGACTGAACTCGCAAAGTAAAGCAAACTTACTGAGGCTAATGTTCTACCATATGCAAAAACTGGACTACGAAATTACTTTTTCCAGCAAATTTCAGCAGATATAACAATAAGCATCAAGAAAAAAATAATCAAATCGAAAAAAAAAATCAACTAAATACCTTGCAACTAGCTACCAAATCCATTTTCACCGCCAAAAATAAAGGCCCAGATAGTACAAAATCTCCTCCGGACCAATAATTTAATCAACCATCAAACCAAATAAACCAGCACATAACCTCCACAGGGACCGATCTATCCACCAAAAAAAAACCAAAAAATTAATCAAAATTCCAAAAAAATTAAAATTAAACCATCTCATGTTCTCAACTGATAGTCCTGAATTGAGCAATCGCATGCCAAAAATAAAAATAAAAAATAAAAAAACCGAAAAAATGAAATCTTACTTTGCTTGATCGAATTGGGGGAGGGAGTCTAGGGTTTTTCCCAAACACCGACTTTGATACTGCTCTTTGTTCTTCGTCCCTGTAAATGATTTTGCGTTTTTTCTCTTTTTTGACCGAAGACCCCCGCACAACCAGAACCGATCCCCCCAATAACAAAGTACGGACCTATCGCCGATTATCCAATCCGTTTTTTTGACGGGGAACGCGTCCGGGTTCAGTTTCGGTGCGCTCACGTGTCAGTGCGCCACGCCCGCATTTTAGACTTGGGTAAATTCGTACGGTTGGGACTTATCTGTCTGATCGTATGGGGTCCACGCCGCACTGATCTTGCCACGTCATAATTAAAATAATTAATCTGTTTGTGGTTTTTAAAAATTAATAAAACGTCCAATCAGGTGTCCATCAAAGAGGACTGGAAAAAAGACTGCACGATGAGAGAATCGGGAAACGAGGAGGTAGCAAGGAGCATGAAACCGGAGGGTCCTTTTCATTGGGATCTTAGGTGTAACATGTTCGTTCATCGTGAATCGTGCGGTCAAAAATTATTTAAAATTTAAAATTTAAATATAAATAATACTTAAAAAAAATTGATCGCACGATATACGATAAATGAACACGATTGATGAATTCCTAAGAAAATAATATGGCGAGGATCCTTTTCGCCTATGGGTCCAGCACAAGACCAATTTTTCCTTCTTTTTATTTGTCTGCATACAAATAATTTTATCTCTACTAATTAATAAAATCTTCTTTGTCAACCAAAAGAATGTGAAATAACAAATTAGTCTTCTATCACACAAAAAAAATGATGGTCAATAATGTAATTTCACATGTCTAAATTTTACTGTTTTGTATTGAAGCTTCACTTACAAGTGATGTTAAAATATCTCTAATATTAAAAATAAAAATAAAAATAAAAAAACCTCTCACTCATGGAAGGAACGGGAAAGTCCGTGTGGAGAGAGATCTCCTCTTTCTTTCCGTAAAGTGGAGAGATCCTCTCTTTTGTGGCTCACTCACAAAATTCATGATAAATTTGTTTATATTATAAATTATATCATCATATTCGCAAAATTTTAATTAAAGTAAAGTAATTTAGTCAATTAATCACAGGCACACAGATATTTTGGTTAAAAAATGTCATTATGAGACGCAGACTCAGGATAAAGAGGTTGACGAAGACCTAGAAAGACTTAAAAATAGATTCTAAAAAACGACCTGGAATACTTAGAACTAACAGAAGACTTGACGCAAAAAAAGAGCACAATGATGTTCTAGGATTCATATAGTTGACACTATTTAGTGGTATAAGTCCTTGTTGTTGTTGTAGCCAATCAACTCTAGTAAACATATGATTTATAATAATAAAATATCTTACCATAAGTATAAATTCCTGAACCGATCATGAATTGAGAATGAATTCATCTTGATCGTTTGAGTAGCCAAATCAGTTACTAATTTCTAAAGTAATAATTTTTTTTTTTGGTAATGAGAGTATTTATTCAACATTCTAACAAGGCCGAAATACAAAATAAGAGAAAATTTATCCGAGAAGAAAACTTATCAACTCGACTCCGCCCCAAAATGGGAGGATTAAAGTCATGGAATCGGATCGTTGGATTTAATTCAAGACCTAAAAAAGATTTAAATATTAATGATCTCATTATTCTATTAAATTTTAATTAAAAGTTTAATTTTAAATAATAAGAAAATAGAATATAAGTGTATTTTTAATCCATTTATAATCGAATAATATGTTACAAAAAAAACTTAAATTAATCAAAAAAATATAAATAATACAAAAATCAAATAATATGTTACATGAAGTTGGATCGAATCAGCATGAATCCATAACCATTTTATAATCAAATTATCAGATTCAAAACTTATTCAGATAATCTAATTGAAAATCACAATCTATATCTTATTAATTAAACCAGATTCGGATCAAATCCAGATCAAAATTCGATTCATTAGCAAGTCAGTTGACAAACCTAGAAAAACAAATCATTTTTAGAAAAAGCCCAAATTATTTGAATTGGGCTGGCCATAACTTACAGTTGGGCTTAGAATTAGAATTATAGTCCAATTCCACCAAGTCTCCCGTAATCCAAACCAAGTAATGGTTCGGGTCGCAAATTTCTTGAGCGGAAGGAAAAGAAAAAGGGTAAGTCTTTATTTGTACTTCACAGGGCTTCAGAACGTGGAACTCTTGCTTCTCTCTGCGATCTCACCAAAATAATTTCAGAAAGCAGAAAAGAGTGTAAGTTTCGAGTGCCCATTTGATTTCACCACCCAGAATATCGCTTAATTACTTCGATTTAACATTTGAAGGTTCTTTCGAGCAGTTAATGGAGTCGAATCAATCCAAACCCGGCCTACTGTGCAATCCTGAAGTCTCTCAGAGAACCCTGTATGTGTTCTATTCTCTCTCTCTCTCTCTCTCTCTCTCTCTCTCTCTCTCTCTCTCGATATATATATATATATATATATATATATGTTTAATTTTGAACAAATTATCTGTATTTTTTTAATGTACAGAGATTAGGGTATTCTGGGTTGTTGGGGATTTAGCTTTCAATTCTTTAATTTTGATTTTTGTGTTTCTTTTCACTTTTTGAAGGTATCCATATGTGACTGGTACATCTGTTGTGGCTCTCAAGTACAAAGATGGAATTTTGATGGCTGCTGATATGGGAGGTTAGTTACCAATCCCATTTACATTGCATCACATACTAAAGTTTTAATTTTTTATTTGATTGAACTTGTTGGTCAGTTTCTATATTGAAAATTGATGATGTTGGTGCTGTGTATAACTTTTTTTCTGGTGTTTGTTGGAATGTGGGACTTTTTCCCCCTTTCTCTTAGCTTCTTGTAGAGAAATTTGTTATGGAATTTTCGGAGTTGCTCTTGTACGCTTATTCTTTTTGTTTCCATTTATCTTGAGCAGAAATAGTTCAAATTAGAGTCTTTTCAAAGGTACATTAATTTCTTTGTTATTATATGTAATGCCCATTGTTAGCAGTCATTCTAGCATTTTAGATCCCTAAAATGCCAATTGTAGTTGAGATAAAGGCTAAAATGGTATCCAAAAACGGATTCGAACTTCTCACGTTCTGTAAAAGTTCCAAGATATCTGGGAGAAATAAAACAAGCACAGAGTATGTGCGGGACAATGGGATGCTTTCGACTTTCTCCTCATGTTTCAGGAAGCAAAATCAGCAAACTTAGGTCCTAACAATCAATTTATTCTTTAAATAAATGGATAAATCATAAATGGTTGTTTGTAGTTTGCATCATTACTGTTTAAAGTTATCAAGAATGTAGCAAGCTGCAAATTCCTTTTTGGGGGGTACATAAACAAAAGCGTTTTTTTTTTTTTTTTTGTCCTTCCTCCTCTCTTTTTGCTGAGTGCCAAGTTTGTGCATCTGCTGTAACTATTAACAGTCTTTGTACCATGTAATGTCTTCTCTAACTCATTGTTTCATATGCTGTGTCCATCTTTTTATCAGTAATGCACATCACCTCTTTTCTTTTTTGGATATGGAGTCAAGTACTTCATGACACATAATTTAGAAACCCATGTATGCTCCTTTTGTGTCTGTTGAGGTTTCTTAACAGTATCACACTGATGGATTTGTTGATAGGTTCTTATGGGTCTACCCTGCGGTACAAAAGTGTGGAGCGAATGAAGCCCGTTGGAAAGCATTCCCTTCTTGGCGCAAGTGGAGAAATAAGTGACTTTCAGGAGCTATTACGTTATCTTGACGAGCTCATGTGAGCATTCTTGATTAAGGAACATTATGAAGATGACTATCTAGCTACCTTTCTTAATGTTTTAATTGTGCTTTTTTGCTATGCTTCTTTGTATCATTTGCAACAGTTGGTTAAAGGATTATTCATTTTGAGTTTTCTGGTTGTAGCCTATACGACAACATGTGGGATGATGGGAACTCTTTGGGACCAAAAGAGGTGCACAACTATCTGACCCGTGTGATGTACAATAGGCGTAACAAGTTTGATCCACTGTGGAACTCTCTTGTCCTTGGTGGAGTAAAAAAGGGACAGAAGTACCTTGGCATGGTAGGCCTCATTTTTTCCTTCCGTTAACACTTGTAGCATGCTGTATGGTTTTAGAACATATGTTTTTCTTTAAAGAATAAATATACTGAATGAGGTGACTTAGTTACTTGTCATATTTTTATTCTTGTCCAGGTTAGCATGATAGGCGTGAATTTTGAGGATAATCATGTAGCTACAGGATTTGGAAATCACCTAGCACGGCCTATTCTTCGTGACGAGTGGCATGAGAACTTGACTTTTGAAGAAGGAGTAAAGTTGCTGGAGAAGTGCATGCGTGTCCTTCTCTATCGTGATCGATCTGCTGTCAACAAGCTTCAGGTAGAGTAATTGATTAATGCTATTTGCTCTATCAATTAGTATCCTTTAATACTAAATTTTAAGTTATATATTCTTTAATTTGTATAGATATTCCTGAGAGCTTTCTTATGTATCTATCTGTTTATTTTCTTTAATTAGCATATAATCTGCTTGGATCTAACGGAAACGTGACACACAACCGAGCGCAATGGCGTTCTAGGATTCATGTAACCGACCCCACTTTGTGGGAAAAGGCTTTGTTGTTGTTGTTGTTGTTGTAGCATATAATCTGCTTGTCTATCATCTTTTATCTTCTTCGACATTGATGAAACCGGATAAACCTTTTTCAAAAGATTTTTTTTTTTGTTGCTATTGTTGCCCGTGCAAGTTCTCAGATATCTCTCTGCCTTTCACACTGACAAACACATTCAGACTATTTTACTAAAAGACTTGTCACTCTTGATTTTGCTAATGTTATAGTGTCTAGTTCGAGACTTGGGAGCAGCCTCTCCATAAATGGGGGTAAGGCTAGCCGACATTCACCTCTCCCAGACCCTGCGTAAAGCGGGAGCCTTGTGCACTGGGTACGACCTTTTTTATAGTGTCTAGTTCATCAGACAAGAAATTCGCATAAACCTGAGAAGTATGTTAATTAAATTTTACTTGGAAAGTAATATAATATTTATTTTACTGATAATAGATTGGGCTTTAGCTCCAGAAATTGTTTAAAGTGGACAAAGAGGGAAATAATACTTGTCAATTTAATTGAGGATTTTTGCCAAATTTCAATTGTATGTTAGTTGGGTTTGCATATATTCTCTTAAATTATTTGGCGTAAAGAGTTGAGTTTTTAAAATTAGTCATCATCGTATTTGTCGTTATTAAGTTCAAGCTTCTTAAGACTACCTGACTGAGTGGGGGATTGTTAGTGGGGGATTGTTAGTGGAGAAAACTTTGATGTTTACTATAGGTCTGTTAGTAAAGTGATGATTTGCACACATTGGATCACTGTAGTGAGACATTTGAAAAACGAAGCGAACAAGTAGTTTGAAATTAACACAGTAGTAGCAAGGCCAAAAAGGTGATGCAGCAAATTGGTCTAGACAGATCCTGATCATATTGTACGCCGGAAGTGTGGAGTTTATTGCATTCCTTGTATGATGACACCTTTTCAATTTTGAAATTGCAGATATCTAAAATCACTGAAGAAGGTGTGACTATCTCTCAGCCTTACTCTTTGAAGACTTTCTGGGGCTTCTCCGCTTTCGAAAATCCAACATTGGGCGCTGAAGGATCATGGTAGCTGGATGGCGGCATCGCTTCTGAACACGAAAAACCCAGCTAGGAGCCAAGTTGAAATTTGTTGTCTTTCTACAGTTAAAACTATGAACTTGTAACACTGTTTACACTCGGGAATATATTTCTCAATGGCTAGTTGGTTCCGAGAAACTTTTTAGAGATAATACATCGTGTTCTTTATTCGGTGTTGCATCATCCACTCGAGCATGAACTTATTGTCGTGGTATTTATACCAATGTTTGTACTTCTTTCGAGTTATTTGGGCAATATTTGGTTTGAAATTCAAATATTATTGCGACTCTAAACCATTGATCGGGTTTGTTCTTGTCTGAATGCGTGGTCCAAATTCCCCAAGAAAATATGTAAATACATGTGTAAAAAATGTGGAGATGAGTAAATTTACAAAAACAGATGAGTAAATAGTGATTGCTTCCAAATGTTGTCAGAATTCATGGGATTTCACCTCCAAAGTTAATTGTTGCAATGAATTTACAAAACGGATTAGTAAAATATGATTTGCTTCCAATTCTTGTGGGTAACACAGATGATATAAGGTAAGCAAAAAATACAAATCAACCATCAATATTACCAACTAGAGACCCCAAAGGGGGAGTGTTCAAAATTGTAGACACCCAAGTTTGATTCCCACCCAACTCCGAAAGGGCAGCTCTCATGGCGTTTAGTGGAGTTTGATTGGTAAGACGATTGTGAGATGGATTGTAAACAAGACATAAGTTGGCCGACTCCCGTCTAATTGTTGCATGAGTTGTGAGGTTAGTTTACGTCACCAATGTCTTCTTTCTTTCATCTTTAGCGTACACCAACTTTAGAGTCTTTCAATAATGTATATTAAGAGGGGAGAATTTAACCTCAATCTCATAAAAATAAAACTTACCGACTAGTTTTTAACCTAGTATTACTTCTCTGTCCACCGTTGGAAGATGTTCCTAATCAAAATCACCTCACAAAAAATAGGAAAATAGAAAAATTAATTCCATTTAAAGCACTTAATTTACATGAAAGTACATGTAATGTTTACAATAACTTGGACTAAGTTATCCGACTGTGATGAAAGTACATTTCTCTCTTACTTGAGGAAGGAAAAGCTTAACTTTTCGCTTGTTGGATTCAGTTAATATTTTTATTAATTCCTTCTCTTTTCTGTTATTCACCTTTTTTTTCTTCTTCTAACTTAAGCTTAAATTTGGTGGAAAATGAACAAGTTTAGTTTTCTCTACTAAATCGTTCCTCTTTTCTTTCATTACTGATTGCCAATCTTCTAAATTTTGAAGAATGTCATATATTGATCTGCTATTCCCGTTTCTTTGCACCCGAGTTCGAGCTCTCCTGTAAATGAAAGTAATTTAGGATATTGCGTTGTTAAGAAATGTTTTGATATTATAATATTATACGATGTGTTTAGTTTCTCCGTACCTTGAGTTTTGCCTCTGCTGCGATATGGGTTGAGCATGTTCAAGTTTTGGAGAGATTTTTCTAAACACCGGGTTTTGAAGCGGTACTCCACATGCCTGTATATATATGGAGGAAATAATATATCTATTCGTATCCCTCTACTTATATTATAACACGTAAAGCACTTGCTTGAATACCGGACATTATGAATAAAGTGGAAGCAGCCCTTCCAGAATACAAAAAATAAACTAGAAAATGTATCGGATAGCAAGCCGTACACATGTTCACAATCTCAAGGTTAATTGTGAATTTATTAAAAATAGTTAGATGACTAACCGATTTTCAATTTGGTTAATAGACAATTTTGATTATCAATTCACATTTTTAAATAAGAATGAAATGAGAAAAGATAGCTAACATTTCTCGAGTATTAATGTTTTAACGGTTGCAAATTAAACGTTCTGGTATGGTGCAAATTAAACCAGGGGTGGGTCATTTGATTTATTAATTTTTGCAAATGAAAACATTAAAGGAATTAAAAATTTATTTGGAAATAAAAATCAAAACCGACTAATCGAAAATTTTGATGTATCGAACCAAGTTAAACCGATTTTATGTAGTTGGTTGTTAACAACGTAACCACATACCGAACCAAACCGATTCCTGTCTTCCCTTGCACCACACCAGCTTCAAAATGTACAACTTTTGGTCTTCATAAATCTTGTAGTTCAACTGATTAAAAGCGTCCACTTCTGAAAACAAAGGTCAAGTGTTTGGACCTTATTCCCAACTATTGGACTGCTCCTTAGTCCTTATATAAAAATTGAGCTTAGTTTAGGTCCAAATACATCAAATCCAATCGAACAATATTTAGCTACTCAAAGATGAGTATGAATTTCCACTCAAAATTCTTAATGTTTTAATCACAAAGCTTTGTGATCATGATCAGAACCGTTCATATTATAAATCACACTATAAAGATCATCTCTGTAAAAAATAAATTAAAACTAAGTTTGTTTAGTCAATTTATTGTAGTAAATACATAGACGGTTCATAATACTTTTACCAATACCGTTAATTTGTTTTTAAACAGTTTGATGATCAAACGACCTTAGTTTTAATTTTTTGCAAAAGCGATCTTTATAAGTTGATTTATAATATGAACGGTTCTGATTATAAATACAAAATTCTATAAATTGACAACAAACAATTTAAAAAAAATTGAGTAGAAATTCATACTCATCTTTGAGTAGCCAAGTATTGTTCATCTCAAACTTGCCTAGTAATCAAATGGCAAAGAAATGAGAGCCCATGTCCCTTACCATGTGGCGCAATGCACGGTATAATGCCAAAAACCCAAGAATGCATCTTTGCTATGGTCTTCTACATAAAGATGGCCAAAATACTCATGGATTTGGCCCGTTTGGGTAACTGTGGTTACCTATTTATTTAAAGTTCATGGTTACGGTTATGAGTAACCGTTTAGACAAACAAATATTTATGGGTATAACCATTTATTCGTGAAATTTAAATGGGCGGTTATGGGTATTACCTGCGGTTATAACGGGTATCCATCGGTTATAGGTATTACCCGTGGCTATAACAAGTATGCATTTACCCATTTAATTTAATATATGTAAAATTAAAAAAAAAATTAAAAACCCTCGTGTTGAATATTCCTCATTCGATGATAATACTAATGTGAATGTGGTAAAAACTAATCTTTATTTTATTTTTTTACTTTGGAATTATTTGTGATACTAATTCAATTTATGCATATGGGTGTGTGAAAAATCATGGAATGTAAACCTTCTGTTATGCATATTATATTAACTCAATTGATTTGGTACTCCGCTTTTGTTTGCTTTTTTCTTTCCTTATGATTAAGTGTACAAGGTAAACCTTCTGCGATTACTTACTTTTGTTGAATTCATGCTAATTGTTGTTGGTGTTCCTAAATGAGATACTAATTCAATTTATTTCTTTTGTAGGCCTTTTTTGGTGACAATGAGTCAATGAGACTTTGTGATTGAACGTGATAAAGCACTAGTGTTCGAAATTATCTAGTTTCGGAATATTTTGGAGCTTTGAATCATCTAGTATTCAAGATAATGATTGCTTTTTGTTTTTAGAAGCTTTATGGATTATAATTAAATACTTGCTTGGGTGTAGTAGAAAAATACCGTTCGTAAACTATTATTTCAATTATTAGAATTGTATAAAGACTTAAATGATTAAAATAGGAAAATGCATGTTAAAATGTAACTATAACAATGTTTAATTGTCAGAAAATGAAAATTATGACAAATTTTTCTTTTGTAATTTTCAAGTTGTTAAAAAAAAAATATAGACTGGTGAAAAAATGGGTAAATGGGTACAAAAAAGGATAAACGGGTTCAAAAACGGGTAAATGGATAAATAGTTATGGTTAAATGGGTAAACTGTTATGATTAAATAGGTACACAATTATGGATATGGTTAACCGTTTATAAACGGTTATAGGTATTAGTATAACCGTTTATGCAATTACCCAATGAATAATGGTTATGCGAGTATAAACATAAACAGTTATGCTGATATAAACATAATTAATTATAGGTAAATAACCTCCTCATACCATAAATGTTGTCCGTCCCTTCTACACCGTCAGACTCCTGTCTGCATCTAGATAGATCACCAACCCCCCCTTTTGCATTTATATTTGCCCAAAATTCACAAAAAATACATACAATAATTTCTCAAAAGTTCTCCTTTTATTTTCTCCTCCAGAAAAAACCCAAAAATATAGAAAGAGAGAGAAAAATGCAGTCCATGTTAACCCTCCATGGAAGCTTTGGCCTTCCTCTCTGTGTTTCAGGGATATCCCATCACCATCTGACCTTTTCTAAGGAGTATGTATACTTCCTTCCTCTTCCTTCCTCTCTCTCTCTCTCTGTCTCTCTCTCTCTCTCTCTACTTTCTCTCTCTAAAGCTCTCTTTCTGTTTTTTTTTAAGAATATGATTTTTGGGTTTTTTATTATTTTTTGTGGGGGTGTTTTTGTTTTAGGATGGCAGATCATGATCGCAGAAGGGAAGCCATGAAAAGGAAGAGGTCACAAGCTAGGGCAGCTCTGCATGCAAATCAAGAAGTGGGTTTTGAAGGAACAAGTGAAAGAGTTGCAACAGAAGAGATCAAGGAAGACGATGGAGATCTAGCTAGTGCACTACATGATCTGTGTTGCAGTTATTTGGCTTGCACTGCAAAAGCTGCATAAACTCAATTACCTTTAGCTTAAATTAGCTTATTGAATCTAATTTTAGTTAATTTATGTGTTTATGGACCTACTTTGGATTGATGTATGTGGAGTTTGATGAATTTTTATAACATATATTTGGAGTTTATGTTTGGTCTGGGTTTTTTTTTTGGGGCTTTTTGCTTTATAGGGTTTTGGGATCTTTGCCTTTTTTTCTTTATTTTTTTGGGAAACTGATTATCTTTGCCTTTGATATGTCATTCTTCTTGTTTGCTGGTTTGCTGGTTTTTATTTGGGCCTTTTGCTTTATAGGGTTTTGGGATCTTTGCCTTTTTTTCTTTATTTTTTTGGGAAACTGATTATCTTTGCCCTTGATATGTCATTCTTCTGGTTTGCTGGTTTGGTTATGGACTGTTTCTCTGCACACTTTGTTGTACCATTGTTCAGACAAAGAACGAAGACTTATCACGTGAGCATGAGCATCCATCCATCCATGTTTTGAATTTGATCCAAGTTCAAATTATTGTTTTGACCAGAAAAAAGAAGAGTTCACAACGAGGTGATTTTCACCCATTTCTTTTGGGGAATTTATCATTTCAAAAAATATTTGTTAAAACTATTTTGTTGAACAATTTTATAAGACTTAAAAAACTTTTTTCAATATAAAATTCATAATTATTTTCAAATAACAATTAAATAAATAAGAAAGGAGGAGAGAAAGAAGAGAGAAGATCAAAAGAAGGGACATAGATAGAGGAGAGAGAACGGAGAGAGATAATCTAGAGTGAGAGAGAAAAGAGAGAAGGAGGCAGACTAGACAATTTTTTACATGATTATTTATCACGATATGTAAACGACATAAAAATAACGGGTTACGAATCAACATAATAACTAATTAAGTCGTTGTCGGGTCACACGATAAGAACTTCTTAATAACAGGTCCTTAATAGGTTTACACGAATTTGGCAGCGGATAACCTGTTTCGACATGTTAAAAAAACATTATTTCAATAATTTTAATTTCTTAAATTACTAAACAAATTTATTATAAAATATAATATACTATATATTAAATATATATTATTGTATAATTATTTTATATAAATTTTTAAAAAAAATTAAATTTTATTTATTTATTTTTATAGTATACTATAGGCAAAGAGTGATTAAAAAAATTATAAAACACATCAAAATAAAAATATCAAGTAATTTAAAAATACCGAACATATTAAAAATTTAATAATTAATTTACAAGTGCGAAAAATGTGAAAAAAATATGTAAAGTCTCGTGATCGCATCCTTTATGCTTTGATTATGAGTACATCGTCATTTGAATTTTTAAAACTGTACAAATCCTCATGAATAATATTTTTAAGGGAGTTCAAAAAAATATAAAATTCATAATTATTAATGTACAAGTCTAAAAAATGTGAAAGCATATATAAACGTATCAAGTTTCTTAACCTTGAAACGCAACTTTCTTTATTTTGCATATCTTTTAACATTTGGTATTTTATAGTAATGTACTAATGTTTTTTCATTAGGTTCTAATTTTGGATTATGTAATACTTGAAAGAGAAATGTTTTTTTGTTTTTGTTTTGAAGTAATATTTATGTGACAATGTGGCATGCATATACTAATTTAGTATTATGTTTTATATTTTCTTGGGTCGAATTATGTTGTCATCTTCATTATTTATTGATTTAAATATATTTTCTTTAATGGGTAACATGTCGAGTTATATTACTTAATAATATTAACAGAGCGATTTCGGTTCGGGTCATATTACCATTTACCTTAATGGGTATTATAAGATACGACCCGTTAAGATATCAGGAATGTCACGAAAACCAAAAGAACACAAAAAATACGATACAAATACCAAATCTAGAAATAAGCCTCATAAAGTATCATAAGATATGAGAGAAAGGAGAGAAATTTTATTTAAACCTATGTAACATCTTTTAACACCCAACTTAAAATTTTAAATGTTAATTGTCTATTTTACAATATTGCATAATTACTATTAAGTACGAAATGAAATTAATAATAAAACTCAAATTTATCAATAAACCCAAACACTATAATTAAACCCTAAGATTACTCTTTGTTTATTATACGTTCATTCCGACTAAAACCCTAATAGCTCTCATAAAAAAAAATAAGTTTTTTTATTGATTGATGGTGATTTTGAGGTTTTAAATCCTCTAACCAAGGTTGACTCAATTTATGAATTTTTTGTTCGTTCGATTTCAATTTTTTAGAGTTTAGAAGATAAGTATTTTGGTTTTAATTTTTTTTTTTCAACCAACCCCGCATAGTTTGTATATCTTTCTGCAACAACAAAATGCTGCAGTCGCTCTTCCACTGTCCATCTGCACCCAAAAAAACAAAAAAGAATTGCATATATTGCAAGGACCTTGGATTCCGTTTGCTTCTTCTTATTTTATATTATTATATTTTTACTTTTTGTGCAAACATTGCAAGGACTTGCAGACTTGTTGACCTTGGAATGACTTTAACACATTAGTAAAACTAATAAAATAAAAGGAGTTCCATGTCAGGCACATTTATACTTGCATACTTTTCTTGTTGAGTACTATCTGAAGTCAAATAATTAATAATCATTCCACCTTAACATTGGACAACCACCTAGATTGCTACTAACATTTGCTACTAACATTTAAAATTACTACTTTATGTATTATAACATTAGAAAGATTACTACTCAGATTTGATCATGTGACCATTGGATGATATTTCAAAGTCGATGTGACCAAAATTCGTAGTCTAATTGCTTATAATTTGTCCATTTGTTGTTAATCATAACTTGAAGGTTTTTTACTGTAACCACTTTCTCCTCATAGTCTAGCGCATTGAACTCCTGAAATGAACAAGAGAATCCAATCCAAATCAAGATGAATTAAAAAGTAAAGCAACGTCTCTTGATAGTAGTATATACAAGCAAAAAATAAGGTTAAAAATTAAATGGGTGTAAAAATAAATCCACATATTGAAATGGGTTTATGGGGGTATATTAGGTAGTAAATTAGGGTTTAAAGAGATATTACTAGTTTAGTTAAAAATCAAATGAGTGCAAAGAATAAGTTGGATGTATAAATAGGTTACTGTTGTAGGCCTATTTAATTGAGCGATCTAAGGTTTAGAGAGAGAGAGGGAGGCCGGCCACTTTAGAGAGAAGAAAGATTGATTCAATTGTGAGGTGTGTTTGATTCACCCCATTGTGCCTTTATTTATAGTAGTTGGAAAGGTAAATACTTTTTCCTTTATGATTACAACATTTAATAGGTAATCTAATCCTAATAGGAATATATAATACTTTCCCATATTCTCTACGATTTACACAATTACATTCCTATTCTAAATAGAACTGCAACACTCCCTCTTTAGTGTGTAAATACTTAACAAACCATCGCATCAGATCTTCAGCATAGAAGGTAGAATAGTTGATGAAGTCACCGGCACAACGGGTCATCGCGAGTCTCAAATTTAATTTGAAGTATGCATTTGTAAAAACTCACAAAAACCTCGCTATGGTAAAACCCAAGGAATGGGGAAAACCCATAAACTAAGGAGAAAAGTAAGAAAATATGCATAATGTCTAAACTTCTCAATAACTCGAAAAAAAGGTAGTAAAAGAATTAGAATAGTAATATGCATGTTATCATCTGATGCAGACTTTAGGTGGTTTGAGTTATAGATGTTATCCTCATAGTCGAAAACTATATTAATAAATGAGCTATCTTCTGTATTTTCACTTGTAAGCCCTTGTTCATGGTTTTCTTTCTCATTCCAAGGAAGAGGCGAACGAGCTATGCCAAACACTGGAGGAGATCGGCCAGGTTGTCCTAGAAACGGATTTGCTTGACTTCAATGTTCTGATGCTGCTGCTGCTGCTGTGAGTAAAAGAATTTTGGCGCTATGTGCTTGGTGTTGTCTCCCTTGATGTATCCTTTCTTTAACTGCTCGATACATGCTGCATTGTTTTCAAAGATCGTCGTAGGAAGGTCAACGACTGATGTAAGACCACTAGTGCTTCGAATGTGTCCCATTACTTCTCTAAGCCAAAAGTATTCACGCTATGCTTCATGCAGGGCGAGAATCTCAGCATGGTTAGATGAAGTCTCAACTAGCGTTTGCTTTGTAGACCTCTAAGAAATAGCGGTGTCTCCAACAGTAAAGACATAACCCGTTTGAGAACGTGCTCTATGTGGGTCAGACAGATATCCAGCATCTGCGTGACCAACAAGGCGAGAATCAATCCTAGATCCATAGAGGGCAGCAACACTAGGAGATTTGTAGGTATAGAACAAGTCCAAATCTGTAGTACCCTTGAGGTAGCGGAAAATGTCTTTGACACCATTCCAGTGCCTGCGTGTAGGCGCATTGCTGTATCTAGCCAATAGATTCACATCGAAGGAGATGTCGGGTCTAATGCACTGAGCCAAGTACAATAAAGCACCAATTGCACTTAGGTAAAGAACTTCGAGTTCCAAAATCTCTTCCTCATCCTCCTTTGGACGGAAGGGATCTCGTTTAGCATCTAGAGTCCGAACGATCATGGGTGTGCTCGAAGGCTTAACTTTATCCTCATTAAAACGACGTAACACCTTTTGGGTGTAGTTCGATTGATGTACTAAGATTCTATTTGAACAATGCTCGATCTCCAGGCCGAGGTAATATCAAGTTTTCCCAAGATCCTTCATCTCAAATTCTGATTTCAAGTGTGCAACAATTTCCTCAAGCTTTTCGGGAGTACCAATGAGTTTCATGTCATCAACATAAACTGCAACAATTGCAAATCCGGAATGTGACTTCTTTATGAACAGGCATGGGCATAGTTCGTTGTTCACATAGCCCTGACTTGTCAAATATTCACTTAGACGGTTATACCACATCCGCTTGGGTTGTTTCAATCCGTAGAGTGACCTCATCAACCTAATTGAGAGAGTGTTCCGTGGTCTAGAACTATTTAAGCCAGTCAATGGAAGTCCTTCTGGAACTTTCATGTATATTTCCATATCTAGATCCCCATAGAGATACGTGGTTACCACGTCCATAAGCTGCATATTCAGTTTTTCAGAAACTACCAAACTGATAAGGTAGCGGAACGTTATAACGTCCATTACGG